ATTGCTGCTGCGCCGCGTAGTAGTTTCCCCGAGTTGTAATGCTGAGAATAGCTGGCGGGGTTGCTGCGGCAGCAGCAACACTCGCTTGCCCATAACTCTGATAGCTCTCAGCACCGTTGCCGTAGTGTTGGGTTTGGAAGGGTAGATTCATGTTGAAGGCGTTCAGGCTTGCTTGGCTATTCAGCTGTTTGCGAAGCCTGGCGCGTCTGTTGCTGAACCAGACCTGTACTCGCGCCTCTGTTAACTTTGTTCTGTAACAAAGAAAGGACACCCACAGAATATTGGTGAAAAACATGAATAATGTAAATCTATTGTTATCACTAAATCTACAACATTACGATTTTGCACCTTTCTGTTGCAGCGTGCAATTTCAAATTTAAATTTAAGTTTTATCTTTTAAGAATTGATAATTTATATATAATTTTACAAAAGAAGTAATCGATGCAGCTAATTTAATATTACATGGATATTTTTTTTCTTTTGCTTTACTTTAACGTGTAATTTTTCCTTTAAATAAATAAAGAGCATTCTGAAAGAAAGAACTTACTTTTGTGCCAGTTCCTCTCTGGTGTACACGTCAGGATATTGCGTCCGATGGAAAGCCGCTTCCAGTTGCTCCAGTTGTTCTCCAGTAAAGGTGGTCCTACTTCTGCGTTGCTTCCTCTTCAACGGGAGGCCAGGTTCGCTTTCCGTGTCGGAATCATCGCCGCTACTCCCAGCTGAAAACACATAATCAAAGATCGTGCCTTTTAATACTCAATCTCGTCATTGAACCTTTAATTTAAGAATCTACGTGTCAATTATCAGTGAACTTGTCTCGAGGAAGATAAAACCACTCGTTGTCCTCTCGTTTGTAAAAATGTGATGCGTTTAACGAAAAGGCACACGTTCTACTCTTTTACGGGAAACTCGCGTTAAAACATCGTCGATAGTTCTCGAGAGGAGGACGCGAGCGTGCGTTTCCTTAATAGCGGCGAGAGCATCTCTCGGTCCAGCACGTGCTGCACGTCAGATACCGAAGATAGGAAGCGAGTCGTTCACGCCCACAGTTCACACGCCGGTCTCAGCAACCCACCATTAAGACCCTTCTGATTACAGCCGTGCCCGGCCGAACCTATACTAAACTAAAACACCGAAGAAATTAGGGTCCGCCGCGAAGAAATTAAGTTCTTTGACATGTCCCGTCCCACTCGAGCTAAACGAAAGCCCGTGGTACGTTCCGAAGGGGAATCGTTGTCTGGACCCCACGAGACACTATTTATGGAATTTCGAGTTTGATTTGTAACCCTTTCAGACCTAATTTGTTCTCCACGGTTTGTCCCGCGTTGTTACGCCGATCTCAAACGACTACATCGATAATATTATAACTACTTCGACCAACGAGATTTGCTGTGAATAATGTAATTTAATTTTTTTCTTTATTTTGAAAATTCATCCGACGTTTTATTTATTATTATTTTTATTGTACACTCGGTGATTTCTTCTCACAAGAGCAAAATTTCTCTCATAAATTGCAGTGGACATTTTTACTGACTAGAGTATGTTAATTTTTGAGCGTATTAAGGTAGCATCAGGGACCTTTTGTTCTCTTTTATAGGCTGCACTCTATAATTTACAAACTTATTCTCGGATTAAGTCGATCGACCGACGGGGATGAACATCTAAATCAATAGCACCTGCGCGAACATTAGCCAGAATTCGAGAACCACGAAGTGCATGGCGGTTCCTGCCAGATTAAAGACTGCCGTGCGCTCGTAAATCGTCGCGAGACTTTCAGAAGCATGCCAAACGATTTTTCGGGATTGTAACGCTTTTCACGAGCTATCAGCGCTCGCTGAAACTTCATGAATTTGGGACCAAGCGCATCGAAAAATAATTGTAACCACCTGTAACTTTCATATATACTAAATGTAAAATCACACTCAAATTTATTGTTACATTACAATGCATTACAATGCATTACAATGCGTACACGATATTCAAACAAATTATATTTATACATTTTAGTAATACAAAAGAAAATTTTTATAATTTTTATATATGCAAAAAAATAATAATACATAGATCGCGATATATCTAGTACTAAAATTTACTGCTAAAATTTACTGCTTTCGTAACTGTTTGACCGGGAGGACGGTCCATAGCAATCGCGAGACGTCGCGCTGCATTTGCCAGAGAATCATCGAAGTCAAGCACCGTCGGGAAGGACCGTCGGGGAAGATGCTAAATAACAATTACTATCGGAGAAATGACCGGCGAGGCGATCGTCCCGGGCGCGACGAACGGCGGAGGTCTCAATCACGAGTCTGCCCCGCAGTAAGAGCATCTAAATCAATAGAGGGTGCCGTTGTGTTTCCGCGAACAAAACGGCGGGCACGGGGTGTGTTGTTGGCGGTTTGTAAGATTAGAGGCAGGCGGCCGGGTACGAAGCCGAGGAAGACCACACGCCGCGGTTGTGCCCCGCGCGTAGGAATATATATGCGCGCGAAGCCCCTCTCCGTCCTCCTCGCACCGTCGAGGAATCCTCGCCATCTTCGTCGTCTCGTTCCTCAGGTTCGACTGCTCGCTCTTCCTGGCCGTTCCATCCGATTTCTTCTCTCACGTTCTCGTCCGACTCTGCTCCACCTGACTTCCTCCTTCTCAGCACGCACTAACGCCCGATCTGTCCCTCTCTCTCCC